GAGGCTGAGATGGGAGGATCTCTTGAGCCTGGGAAGTGGAGGTTACAGTGAGCTGAGATCTAGCCACTGCACTTCAGACTGGGTGACAGAGTGATATCCTGTCTCAAAACAAACAAATACACAAAAAAGGGGCAGTCAAATATCCCTAAGAACTTCCTACTGCCAACAGTAGAGGTACAAAAATTTTTTAAATCTCAAAAAAACAAACCAACAGGTGGCAGGTGGCTCACGCCTGTAATCCCAGCACTTTGGGAGGCTTAGGAGGGCGGATCATGAGGTCAAGAGAGCGACACCATCCTGTTCAACATGGTAAAACCCCGTCTACAAAACTTAGCTGGGTGTGGTGGTGGAGCACACCTGTAGTCCCAGCTACTTGGAAGGCTGAGGCAGGAGAACTGCTTGAACGCAGGAGGCGGAATTTGCAGTGAACCCAGATCACACCACTACACTCCAGCCTGGTGCCTGCTGACAGAGTGAGACTCTTTGTCTCAAAAAAACAAACAGGCGGGGCGCGGTGGCTCACGCCTATAATCCCAGCACTTTGGGAGGCCCAGGCGGGTGGATCACGAGGTCAAGAGATTGAGATCATCCTGGTCAACGAGGTGAAACCCCGTCTCTACTAAAAATACAAAAATTAGCTGGGCACAGTGGTGCACGCCTATAGTCCCAGCTACTCAGGAGGCTGAAGCAGGAGAATTGCTTGAACCCAGAAGGCGGAGGTTGCGGTGAGCCGAGATCATGCCATTGCACTCCAGTCTGGGTAACGACAGCGAAACTCTGTCTCAAAAAAACAAAACAAACAAACAAACAAAAAGGCTGGGCGCAGTGGCTCACACCTGTAATCCCAGCACTTTGGGAGGCTGAGGTGGACAGATTATGAGGTCAAGAGATCGAGACCATCCTGGCCAACATGGTGAAAACCCATCTCAACTAAAAATACAAAAATTAGCTGGGCATGGTGGTGCACGCCTGTAGTCCCAGCTACACGGGAGGCTGAGGAAGGATTGCTTGAACCCGGGAAGCGGAGGTTCCAGTGAGCCGAGATCTCGCCACTGCACTCCCGCCTGGCGCCTGGCAACAGAGTGAGACTCTGTCTCAAAATAAAAAAAATGTAGGGAGATCTGAGCATAGACACTTCCTTTAGCAGCCTATTTCTGCAAGTACTCAGGACAGATAATGCCTACCAAGGTTACTGAAGGACATTCTCTGAAAAGAATCAGTGGCTATTAAAATGCAAATGCTTAAGTGACTGTAAAAACAACATGTAAAGTTATAATCTTAAAAAAAAACAAAGTAATCCTTTCTCCCAACACTCTTAGAATTTATTTTACAATCTCCGCTTCACAATGGGGATGGGCGGTAGTAAACACAAAGCGTTAGTCCTCTCAGTCTGAAGGGGTCCTGTCAATCTCCAGAGACAGTGGAAGCCTTAAAAAGCACCTATTCCAACTTCACACCTAATTCCTGGACCATCTGACTATAAATTCCTGTTTCAAGAAGATAAACCAGAAAGCTCCACTTGCTCCTTTCATCTGCTGATTCCTGCTAATATAACACTGTTACATTACTCCACACCTAATCTATCACCAGATGATGTAATTAGATCCAAACACACCATGACATTGCTAAAGAGGGACACAAAAGCCATCTGTATTATGAACAGGAGCTGCTTCTATTAAAAATTCAATCCATTTAAATAATTTAAAATGCTACCTTCATAAACAGATTACACAGAAGACACTGAATATGCTACCTCTGAAAATTTGATAAAAATGAAGATAACTGGCTGGACGAGGTGGCTCATGCCTGTAATACCAGCACTTTGGGAGGCGGCGGCAGGTGCATCACCTGAGCTCAGGAGTTTGAGACCAGCCTGGGCAACATGGTGAAACCCTGTCTCTACTAAAAATACAAAAGACAGCTGGGTATAATCCCAGCTACTCAGGAGGCTGAGGCAGAAGGATCACTTGATCCAGGGAGGCAAAGATTGCAGTCAGCCAAGATCCTGCCATTGCACCCCAGCCTTCGTGACAGAGCAAGCAAGTCTCCATCTCAAAAAAAAAAAATTAAGATAATCTAGTTATCATGAAGACAGTAATGTGACTTGTCTAAGAGTCTCTCATGTGATCAGTATGTCGAAATCTCAAGGTGGAAAGTACAAAAACTTATGATCTTGTTATTATCCAGTTATCTGAACTGTTGTAGGGTTTTTTAAAAAAAATCACAGATTTTTTTTTTTTTAAGACGGGGTTTCGCCATATTGGTCAGGCTGGTCTCGAACTCCTGACCTCAGGTGATCCACTCACCTCAGCCTCCAAAAGTGCTGGGATTACAGGCATGAGCCACTGCGCCCAGCCTAATGTTTTTAAAAGAACTGTTTAGCACTGAAAAAAAAAAGAATAAAAATTAATTAATTAATTAAAAGAATTGTTATCTTGGTGGGGTGCAGTGTCTCACGCCTGTAATCCCAGCACTTTGGGAGGCTGAGGGAGGTGGATCACCCGCTCAGGAGTTCAAGACCAGCCGGGCCAAGATGGTGAATCTCCATCTCTACTAAAAATACAAAAATTAGCCAGGCGCAGTGGTGAGCACCTGCAGTCCCAGCTACTTGGGAGGCTGAGGCAGAGAACTGCTTGAACCCGGGAGGCAGAGGCTGCAGTGAGCCGAAGCTGAGATCGCGCCACTGCACTCCAGCCTGGGCAACACAGCATGACTCTGCTCTCAAAAAAAAAAGAATGGGTATCTTTTGGAAATGTATACTGAAGCATTTATGGAAGAAATGATATAATGTCAGGAATCTGCCTCAGAAATCATCTGGGGGTAGTGAGTGGGGAGTTTACAGATGAACCAAGACTGCTGAAACTGAGCGATGGCTGCAGGGTTACATAACGTGAAAATCAACCTTTCTGTACCCTGTAAATTACCTGCTGCAAAACAGTAGCTTGGCTTGAGGAAATCAAGAGCTCGCCTCCAGCCCAGGAAGCCGGCCCAAGTCCAGGCACTCAGACCATGCCCAGAATTGCTTCTTCCTAAGCCGTCCAGAACAGACAGAAGGAGTAATGTCACAGGAAATCCCTTCCACTTTCCCATCCTCACCAAACCCCGAGTCACCCAGCCCTTGTCCCCAACCTTCAAATTCCACCAAGTGCTGTCAGACTAAGGAATTCTCACTCATTTCTACTTTGTGATGACAAGAAAGCTCAGCCCCAAAGAGCAACCCCAAAGTTTTTCCCGTTGTGATCAATAAGGGAAGCTATGACAAAAGATCTTTCTCAAGAAAGAACTGTATGAAAGTCAACAAGATAAAGTAATATCACAATAGGGATATTGTGAGCCACCGAACTAAGAAGAGCCATCTAAAGCCTCAGGGCCAAAAGACCTAGTTCTACCCCTGTGAGGCTTTGGGCTCTGGCAGAGACCTTTCTGGGTTTCGGGTTTCTCACCTGTGAAGTGGGATGAATCCTGCTTGCCTAGTTACCATCTCAGAGGACTGCGCTGATGATCCAGTGGAAACATACCTGCGCCTCACAGAAGCTCTCTATCAGCGCTGGGTTACGGTAATGAAGAGCAGACGTGGCACTCTACTCTGCTGTACTGAAGCAAGAGTATGTTTGGGAGAAGACACGGCACACTAGCCAACAGCAACCAAGGGAGCTCAAGGTGCTCTCCAGCCCAGGGGCAAGAAGGAAACACAGCAAAGCAGCTGGACCAGCAACCACCATCCACGCTGACCATACAAGAAACTATCAGTGACATATTTCAGCGCCCATTAGACTAGGTGGAAAGCCATCCTGACAATACCCCAGCCGGAGGTAAGCAAGGGAGCACTGCAGGCACCTGTCTGCCCGTCTAAGCGTGAACTCAGCAAGGAGCCCCGATTTATCAGGACCCTGTTCTTGACACTCTCGAAGGATACAGTGGATGCTCAGGGGGCATATGGATTCATCAAGGTTCTTAATATCGTGACTGACACCCTAAATAGCAATGTGCCAATTTTAACACTTTTCTTACAGACCTCTTGGCTTAAACACGCATCTGTACTGGACACCCACGTAGGAGATGCCTGCATGTGTGAGAAGTCAACGACATACAGAAACTGACAGATCAGCACCTTAGGGATTTCCTACTAAGTAAAACGTTTAGAAGTGAACACTATTACCCGATGTCCACTGGGTCACTGGCAGAACACACACAGCCCTGCGGTTACCTCCACTTAAACTTTACTAAGTGCTGAGGTAGACAGAAACCACTCCACCTTGGGGCCCACCTTCCCCCCAGGAGCAGGCGCCCTGAGGACCGTGCGGACCCCCTGGCACACCGTACTGTGCATGGTGCCTCTCCATGCATTTCACCTCTCCTTCGAGAGTGGAGGTGGCCCTAACGGCGTTCTGCTAGACTTCTGTGTTTGCCACCGAGCGTTTCACATACGAGCTTGGAGACTCACTGCCTTCCTCCCCAAAGGCACCAAAGTGAAAATGTTTGATTTCAGGCCCTTCTACAAGCACTCACCATCTCCCAAACAATAAAAGATGAAACCTAAGTAGGAAAGATGCCAACCATACATCGTAAAGTAACCGTGCTCAAAACAGATCTCAAGGTGCCTGGGCAGTCTGGCCTCTGCGGCTTGAAGTTGGGTGGATTCAGCCAAGCAGTGTCTGGGCCCTCGGGTGGGAGAGTCGCAGGACGCTTCGTTCAGGGGCACCTCCATCAGGTCCCTGGGAGGGTGTCCCCAGGCCGGGAGCAGACCTCAGTAAGATCCAGCTGACCAGGTACTGGGGGGAGGGGAAGAAACGGACTCCCCAGAATAGAACCTCCTTTTAAGGGGGGGGAAGAGGGACTCCAGCGAATTCAACCAGAAATCCAGGGCCGAAGGGGTGAATAAGCAAAAAAAAAAAAAAAAAAAAAAAAAGCAGGACCCGCAGGTCTCGACAGTGCCTTTCCCGACTGCAGGGGCCGCGCGCCCGCCCAGTTCCCACGCCCCGGCCCGGGCCACTCCGTACCTGCTCTGCCCCGTAGACCGTGGCAAACTGGACGAAGTCCTCGATGCGGACGAAGCCGTCCCCGTCCCCGTCCAGGGCATCGAACACGGCTCGGAGGCGGGGGCCGTCCTCCTGACTCCCCGCGGGCTCGCTCGAAAGGGGGTGCGCATGGCCAAGGTCCGAGGGCTGCGGCGGGGCCCCGGGACCCTCTCCCAGCGCCAGCTCTCCCGTCGTGGGCTCGGGGAAGGGCGGGAAGAGGTCGACCTCGCCCCGGGCTCGGCGGCCGCGGCCGGACCCCTGCCGGCGGAAAGGCGCGCTCTCGGGGCAGCTCGGGGGGCCGCACTCCTCCGGCTCCTCGGTCCAGGAGAAAAACGGATCGAGCTGTGGAAGCGACGCCTCGAAGCAGGGCCCTGGGCCCGGGGAGCGCGGCGGCGGCGCAGGCGGCCCGGGATGCCGCGGGCTCCCCTCCAGCCTCGGGGCCGGCCCGGCGCTCCAGCGCGCCCCGCAATCCGCAGCGGCTCCGGGCGTAGGCTCGCCCAGGCCCGGGGAGTCCGCGTCGGGGCCGGCGGCTGGCGCTCCGAGGCGCAGCTCCGCGGGGCCCAGCACCGGCTGCGCCGCCCCCGGCCCGTCCGGCCCGCCAGGCTCAGGGTCAGGCCCCGGCGGCTCCGAGGCCGGCGGGGCCGACGCCATGCTCCCGAGAGGCTAGTGGTGCGGCGGGCGCGGGCGGCAGACAAAGGCGCTCAGGGCGCGGCGGCGGGCGCGGGCATCCCCTCGGCGGCGCGGGCGGGCGCGCGCGGGGCGCCCGGGCTGCTGGGGCTGGCGCTCGGGCCCTGCTCCGTCCTCGCCCATCTTCGCGCCGCGCCTCAGCTGCCCTCAGCCCGGCAGCGCGGCGGGCGCCGGCCCATGGCGACGGGGCGGCCTGGGAAGGGCGGCGAGGGGTCGGGCGGCGGGGTCCGGGGCCGAGGGGAACGGAGGCCTCGGAGCCTGTGGTGCAGGATGAGGAGGCTGAGGCGCCGGAGGTACCCGGAGAACTAACGCCGCCGCCGCCGCCTCCACCACCGCCCCGGCCCCGCCCTCCGCTGGGCCTGACGTCAGCACGTCCGGGCGGCGCCGGCCCCGCCCCTCTCCGGTTTGCTATAAAGGCGGGCGCCGGGAATGCCGCGGCAGTGCTGCGGCCGTCACCGCGAGGTTATTCTGCCGTTTCTCCTTGTCTCAAGCGCCGGACGTGGAGGTGCCCAGAGGCTGTGAGCGCGGGTGTGAAGTGACGTGACGTCCCTGAACAGGGGCGCGCTGGGTCAGGTCGTGCACAGCTGGGTCAGCTGCGGCGACAGCGACAGCGACCTGCGCCCGTTGCGGAGGGGTAAACGGCACCGCGCGGCGAGCGAAAGACGAACCGGCGCGCAGCCCCCTTGGAGCAGAGCCCTTCCGGGGCGGAGCGTTCTCACGCTGATGAGACCGAGAGGAGGCGCACGCCTGGCCCCGCGGCCCTAGTGGTAGCGGGTGCTCCAGGAGTTGCGGGGCGCAGACCCGGCAGAGGGCGAGGCCATGCCCAGGCCCCGCGCGGACCCGGGGAACGCAGGGTCTGAGACCGAGTGCGGAGGGGCCCCAGACACGCGGTGCATGCCCGTGGCAACCAGAGGCTCGCGCGGCCTTTCCCTTAAGCCTGTAACCAAGGTCTCCAAGACGCACTGCGTTGGGACGGGCGCGGTGGCCCATGTCCAAGCGGGAGGATGGCTGGAGCCCAGGTGTTCGAAACCAGACTGAGCACCACCGCAAGACCTTGTCTCTACAAAAAATAAGATTAAAGAAGACACCCAGCGTGAAGCGCCCGTCCTTAGCCAGCCTCCCGGGCACCGTGGCTGCGTTTGGCAACTAACCTCTGTGTCCAAGTATCCCTGTCCTCAGAGGGACATAGGACCTCAAACAGGACCACAGCCCTGGCAGCAGGCATGATGGTGGGACAGGCTAGTTAGGAGCGCGTGAGGCGCTAAATTTAGCCTGTCATGAAATGTATCAGGGAAATGATGAACTTGTATTTTTACATACCATGGGCACCAAGATAAGTTACGGTTTCATAAGCGGCTTCGGCAAGATCCAAATGAACGGAACCTCTGCTTCCAAGTGTACCGTCAGGAGCAGCGTGTTAATTAACTGAGTCATCTCCCTGGCAGAATCCCAGGGTACATGGGACCAGACTTTGTGAGGCTGGCATTGGGAAAAGAGAGATGAGGGGTCCTCCTCCCCAAACTATATTCACATTTTCTTGTAAGAGCTGTATGTGTTCACAGAGGAAGAGACTGCAGTCAAAGGATGAAATCACCTCCAGTTTGGGCAAGAATTCAAATTTGGGCTGATGCCTTTGGCCAGATAAAATTTTCAGAAGCAGTCAGTAATGGGGGTGTTAGTGTGGGTGAGGCAAACACAGCAGGCTTCCTCTGCTTCCCGGTGCTGCCAGAAGCAGAAGGATGGCTTTCTTTTGTTTTGAGACGGTGTCTCACTCTGTCACCAGGCCCGGAGGGCAGTGGCATGATCTTGGCTTACCACAACCTCCAACACCCTGGTTCCAGCAATTCTCCTGCCTCAGCCTCCCAAGTAGCTAGGACTACAGGCGCGTGCCGCCACACCCAGCTGATTTTTGTATTTTTAGTAGAGACCACATTTCACCATATTGTCCAGGATGGTATCAATCTCCTGACCTCAAGTGATCTGCCCACTTCGGCCTCCCAAAGTGTTGGGATTATAGGCGTGAGTCACCATGCCTGGGCACAACATGAGTTTTGGAGGGTATAAATATTCAAACCAAAGCAGCCGTCTTCTCACTCTGTCCTCACATGTTGGAGAAAGACAGTCTCTTCTGGCCCAGGTGTGGTGGCTCACGCCTGTAATCCCAGCACTTTGGGAGGTTGAGGCTGGTGGATCACCTGAGGTTAGAAGTTCAAGACCAGCCTGGGCAACATGGTGAAACCCCGTCTCTACTAAAAATACAAAAATTAGCTGGGCATGGTGGCACCGGCCTGTAATCCCAGCTGCTCAGGAGGCTGAGGCAGGAGAATCACTTGAACCCCGGGGTGGGGGGCAGGCAGAAGTTGCAGTGAGCCACAATCACACCACTGCACTGTAGCCTGATCGACTAGAGTGAGATTCATCTCAAAAAAATAAAAACAAAGGCAGGGCATGGTGGCTCACGCCTGTAATCCAGGCACTTTGGAGGCCAAGGTGGGCGGATCACCTGAGGTTGGGAGTTTGAGACCAGCCTGACCAACATGGTAAAACCCCGTCTTTATAAAAAGAAACAAAGAAAGAAAAGAAAATTGCCAGCCAGGTGTGGTGGCTCACGCCTATAATCCCAGCACTTTGGGAGGCCGAGGCGGGTGGATCATGAGGTCAGAGATCGAGACCATCCTGGTCAACGAGGTGAAACCCCGTCTCTACTAAAAATACAAAAATTAGCTAGGCATGGTGGCTCAGCCTGTAATCCCAGCTACTCGGGAGGCTGAGGCAGGAGAATTGCTTGAACCCAAAAGGCGGAGGTTGCGGTCAGCCGAGATTGTGCCATTGCACTCCAGTCTGGGTAACAACAGCGAAACTCCGTCTCAAAACAAAAAAGAAAAGAAAATTGCCTGCAAACTATTTTTTAATCGACAACTTTATTTTCTGAGACGGAGTCTTGCTCTGTCACCCAGGCTGGAGTGAAACGGTGTGATCTTGGCTCACTGCAGCCTCTGCCTCCCGGGTTCAAGCAGTTCTCATGCCTCAGCCTCCTGAGTAGCTGGGATTACAGGTACCCGCCACCACACCTGGCTAATTTATGTATTTTTAGTAGAGACGGGGTTTCACCACGTTGCCCAGGCTGAACTCGAACTCCTGACCTCCAGTGATCCACCTGCCTTGGCCTCTGAAAGTTCTGGGATTATAGCCATGAGCCGCCGCACCCGGCCTGACGACTTTGAAAACTAAATTAACATTTTGTATTTAGTAAGTAAACTTAGAGCAAAGTCACTTTTAGGACCAGGTAACGCTCCCCCTCGTGGCCTCCAGCAGTTCGGAGTACAGAGCCTCACCTCTGTTTACTGATATTTTATTCAGTGGAGAAGAATTTTTATTCTCACCTTCAAATGTGGTAAAGTGCATTTCTTACAGTAAAAACAGAACGTGAGTTTGTAAGCCACAACTATATTCCTCCTGACTCAGCCCGAGTTTTGATGATTTTCTTATTTTAATGCCTCACTATGAATCTAACCGGTGCCTGCTCCTTCTTCCTGGAATGACCTAGCCCCCGCCAGGCCTGGAGCTCTCCAGAGCCCGGCTCCTGCAATCCTAACGCCTCCCTGAGGCCAAAACCACAGGCTTTGGAGGGGCCCTAAGGAGCCAGCAGGAGAGGTGTGCACAGCTTTCTGCATTTGCCAAAGCAGCAGCAAGGCTCTGGTTCTCATCAGTCTACTCTCTCCCATGTAAAAATGTTCCAAGTTACACGTGACGACAGAAGAACTGAAAGGTAATTCTCATTTCTGGCAAACGTTTCTCATTCTTGCTGGCACAGACACCTGTCAGGTGCGGTCTGGCACCACCCAGCTGCCTCTGAGGCTTTCCAGGTTTCCTGGCACCAGAGAGGGCCCCTGAGACCCACGAGGCTACTGGAAGGAGCTTGCTGAGAACTTAGCACGCAGGGTGTGTGCTGCCATGGCAACACTGGTCAGTGCCAGCCAGGAACCCGAGATGGATGATCGGCTGGGCTGACACATTTTCTAGAAGCCCCTCCCCCAGCGCATGGCAGCTGTTGGAGTGGCCACACTCATAAGGTGAGGCTAACCCTCAGCGACTTTTTGTTATTCATTTCATTTATTTATTTTGAGATGGAGTTTCACGCTTGTTGCCCAGACTGGAGTGCAGTGGTGCAATCTTGGCTCACTGCAAGCTCTGCCTTCCAGGTTCAGGCGATTCTCCTGCCTCAGCCTCCTGAGTTGCTGGGATGACAGGCGCCTGCCACCATGCCCAGCTAAATTTTGTTATTTTTAGTAGAGACAGAGTTTCACCATGTTGGCCAGGCTGGTCTTACACTCCTGACCTCAGGTGATCCACCTGCCTCGGCCTCCCAGAATGCTGGCATTACAGGTGTGAGCCACCACGCTTTGCCTGTTTTTTATTTGTATTTATCTTATTTATTTACTTATTTATTTGAGACGGAGTTTCGCTCTTGTTACCCAGGCTGGAGTGCAATGGCGCGATCTCGGCTCACCACAACCTCCGCCTCCCGGGTTCAGGCGATTCTCCTGCCTCAGCCTCCCGAGTAGCTGGGATTACAGGCACGCGCCACCCTGCCCAGCTAATTTTTTGTATTTTTAGTAGAGACGGGGTTTCACCATGTGGACCAGGATGGTCTCGATCTCTTGACCTCATGATCCACCCGCCTCGGCCTCCCAAAGTGCTGGGATTACAGGCTTGAGCCACCGCGCCCAGCCCCTATTTATTTATTTTTATAGAGATAAGGTCTTGCTATGTTGCCCAGGCCGGTCTTGAACTTCCGGCTCAAGTGATCCACCAAACTTGACCTTCCGAAGTGCTAGGATGGCAGGTGTGAGCCACCATGCCTGGTGTTTTTCGAGACAGATCTTGTGTCTCCCAGGCTGGAGTACAGTAGTGTGATCATGGCTTACTGCACCCTCAACCTCCTGGGCTCAAGTGATTCTTCCACCACAGCCTCCGGAACAGCTGGGACCACAGGCTCTATTTGTTTGTTTTGTTTTGAACACTCTTGCTCTGGCACCCAGGCTGGGGTGCAATGGCACGATCTCGGCTCATGCAACCTCCACCTCCCAGGTCCAAGCAGTTCTCCTGCCTCAGCCTCCCAAGTAGCCGGGATTATAAGAACCCGCAACCACACCCAGCTAATTTTTGTATTTGTAGTAGAGATGGGGTTTCACCATGTTGGCCAGACTGGTCTCGAACTCCTGACCTCAGGTAATTTGCTTGCCTCAGCCTCCCAAAGTACAGAATTACAGGTGTGAGCCACCGCGCCTAGCCCTGCCAGTTTATTGCACAAGAGCCAGACGCCTGAGCCCAGTGATGAACTTGCATCTTTCCTCAGGAATGTGGACATGAGGCGCAGAAGGATCGCTGTCCCTCTCTTCAGTGGCTGGGCCATGGCTTGTGGAGGTGTTTGCTGGGACTGGGACCCAGAGGCAGCAGAGCAGGCCCAGGTTCACAGGGGCTGATGGAGGGAAGACACTCTTGGTCCAGGGCCCTGCATCCCAGCGTCCTCCCTGAGCTCCAGGGTGTCCCTCCCCCAGGGCCTGTGGAGGGACCCAGGACCTGCCTGTGAGGTTTCCCAGGTTCCCTGACACCAGAGACGGCCCGAACAGCGTGAAACCACCAACATTGTGAAAGTGTTCCTATTTAGCATCTGCTGTCTCCTGATTTTGTTTTTTTGAGACGGAGTTTTGCTCTCATTGCCCAGGCTGGAGTGTAATGGCACATTCTCGGCTCACCGCAACCTCTGACTCCCGGTTTCAAGCAATTCTCCTGCCTCAGTCTCCCAAGTAGCTGGAACAACAGGCGCACCATCACACCCAGCTAATTTTTGTATTTTTAGTAGAGATGGGGTTTCACCATGTTGACCAGGATGGTCTCGATCTCTTGACCTCGTGATCCACCTGCCTCAGCCTCCCAAAGTGCTGGGATTACAGGCTTCAGCCACTGCACACAGCCATGTTTAAATCTAATCCATCTGGAGTTAATTTTTGTGTAAGGTGTAAGGAAGGGATCCAGTTTCAGCTTTCTGCTTATGGCTAGCCAGTTTTCCCAACACCATTTATTAAACAGGGAATCCTTTCCTCACTGCTTGTCAGGTTTGTCAAAGATCAGATGTTGCAGATTTGTGATAGTGGTGTTATTTCTGAGGCCTCTGTTCTGTTCCATTGGTCTATATCTGTTCTGGTACCAGTACCATGCTGTTTTGATTACTGTAGCCTTATAGTGTAGTTTAAAGTCAAGTAGCATGACTCCAGTTTTAGTTTATTTTTGCTTAGGATTGCCTTGGCTATGCGGACTTTTTTTTGGTTCCCTATGAAGTTGAAGGTGGTTTTTTTCAATTCTGTGAAGAAAGTCAAGGGTAGCTTGATGGGTCCTGAAGCCCATGCAGTCACTGGAAGGAATTCGCTAAGAATTTAGCACACAAGGGTGTGTGTGGGTCGTGGCAACACCAGCCTTTGGGAGGCTGAAGAGGGCAGATGGCTTGAGCCCAGGAGTTCAAGACCAGCCTGGGTAACATGGCAAGACCTCATCTAGAAAAAATACAAAATGAGGCTGGGAGCGGTGGCTCAAGCCTGTAATCCCAGCACTTTGGGAGGCCAAGGCGGGTGGATCACGAGGTCAAGAGATCAAGACCATCCTGGTCAACATGGTGAAACCCCGTCTGTACTAAAAATATAAAAAACTGAGCTGGGCATGGTGGCGCGTGCCTGTAATCCCAGCTACTCCGGAGGCTGAGGCAGGAGAATTGCCTGAACCCAGGAGGTGGAGGTTGCAGTGAGCCAAGATCGTGCCATTGCACTCCAGCCTGGGTAAGGGCAAAACTCCATCTCAAAAAAAAAAAAAAAGAAAAAATACAAAAAATACAGCTGGGCATGGTGGTGTATGCCTGTGGTCCCTGGTACTCAGGAGGCTGATGTGGGAGGATCGCTTGAGCCCAGGAGTTTGGAGGATACAGCAAGCTGTGTTTGTGCCACTGCACTCCAGCATGGGTGACAGAGCTAGACCCTGTCTCTGACAAAAAAACAAATCTTTTCTCCACGTTGTCAGGAAGTAAAGCCTGAACACATTCAGGTCTGCTGTGATGCTGAGCTGGGAGCTTGGAGGCACAGAGTGGGAACCACAGGGCTGACGGGCATCCCTGACGCGAGCTGCTCCCCTCCTGTGAGGGCAGCCACGGGGGCCCCGGTGGGCAAAGCCACACACCTCCCTTCAGCCCCTGCTGCTCAGTCCCTCCCATATGCAGCGGGGCTGGGGGCCATGTTGAGAGAGGAGGAAAGCTGTGGCAGTATGAGCGGTGGCCTGGCTGGTCCTGGGACCGGGCTGCATCTGAGCACACCTGCCAGGGGAGCAGGACCTGCCTGTAGACTGGGTTCCAGCACCAGGCAGGCAGAGTGTCCCAAGCTTCACAGAAAAGACAGGAAGGAAACACCGCCCCTAAACAACAGGATCACCAGCGGTTCCTTTTAATCGTCTTTCTTTTCCTTCTAAAAGCTTTTGCAAGTTCCAATTTTTTTTACAGTAAAAGAGATTATCTTTTAAGAAAATAGACTTGGCGTGTGCCTGTAATCCCAGCTACTCGGGAAGCTGAAGGAGAATCACTTGAACCCAAGAGGCGAGGTTGGAGTGAGCCGAGATCAAGCCATTGCACTCCAGCCTGGGTGACGCTATGTCTCAAAAAAAAAAAAAGGCTGGGCGCGGTGGCTCACACCTGTAATCCTAGCACTTTGGGAGGCCGAGACGGGCGATCACCTGAGGTCAGGAGTTAAGAGACCAGCTGACCAATACGGAGAAACCCCGTCCCTACCAAAAATACAAAAATTAGCCGGGCATGGTGGCGCATGCCTGAAATCCCAGCCAGTGGGGAGGCTGAGACAGGAGAATCTCTTGAACCCGGGAGGCGGAGGTTGTGGTGAGCTGAGATTTTGCCATTGCACTCCAGCCTGGGCAACAAGAGTGAAACTCTGTCTCAGAAAAAAAAAAAAAGAAAAGAAAATGCAGTTTCTGGCAAGATTGGAGGGAAGTGTGTTTATGCAAACAGGTAGTGCAGAAACATAGGGGCGGACCCTGTGGCCAACCTGAGGGCCATGCCAGCTGTTGGACCACACGCAGACAGGAGCACCTCAGTGTTTTCAGTCACGAGAACACAAGTTTCAGGATCCACGTGGCTCCCTCAGGCCCTGAAACCAGGCAGGCAGGACAGCCTTGACCACAGGGCAGGGGACGTCCCAGCATCTTGTCTGCATCCTCACCACCTGCATGGCAACTCCACAGGCCAGGCCCACTATCCAGCTGCTCCTGCCCCGGAGGTGGGGCCATGGGGAGGGAGGGAGAGGGTGGAAACAGCTGGCTGTCCAGAGGAGGGGCTGGGCTGTGGGCACTGCTGGTTCAGACTGGCGCTCTCCATCTGGCTGTGCAAGGTGGCGGGAAGCAGGGCCCAGAAGAATCCTGCAGGAGTTACAGAACTTAGAGCAGCTGAGGATGGCTTCCCCCTCAAAACACCTCGGCTGCCTCGGCCATCCAACACATGCCAAAAATGCCGGCAGAGGCTGAGGCCACTACGTAAGACCCAGCACACTAGCGCCCGCTTCTGCCCAGCCCCACTGGGCAGCACCCAATGTGGCCAGGCCGGCGCAAGGGCTGGGAGGATGGGGGAGAAGGAGACGCCCGCCCCATGGGTCCTGCAGAGGACTGCCCATGCAGCGGCCAGCATCCAGGGACACAAGTGACCCCAAGAAGTGGGAGTGGCACCTCACCTAGAGCTTAGCAGAGAAGGATGCAAAATCTGCCAGTCCCTTCACATCGTTTGGCAATGTCAACCATGACCCGCCATCAGCCACCAGCATGGCCCCCGTCACGCAGGAGGCCAGAGGGCTGGCCAGGTAGAGCACGCAGTGGGCAATCTCCGTCTTGTTCCCCAGCCTCTGCAGCGGGCTCACAGCCACCCTGGTGCTCAGGCTGGCCTGGGGGCCACCTGGAGGGCAGCAGAAGGCTCAGGCCCCATCAGCCCCAAGACCCAGCACCCTCCCCTCTCCCCCAGCTCATTCTCTGAGTGGCATCCGGGAACAGCAGGGGCAAAGTCAGTGTCACCAAGGCCTAGCATGGAGCAGTATCAGGCCAGGCACAGACCGCAGCCACCACCATGGAACCAGCACAGGGCTTTTCAACGCACCCCCTGCCAAGGTTCTGGAAGCTTCCATGGGCACCCCGTGCCTCAGGAGAGGATATGTGGGAGGCCTGGGCTGAGAGCCTTACCCAGTCGCCGGAGCCCCTCCGTGCCACTGATGGGGCCGGGGGCGAGGCTGTTGACACGGATATTCTGCGGACCCCACTCCACAGCCAGGTGCCGTGTCATCGCGTCTGCATGGAAGAAAGTTGGATATGAAGGGGCCGCTGTGCCCTCTGTGGGGGTCTCAGGGCCAAGGCCAGGCCTCACTGCCTGCAGCTGAGCTGAGCTTCACGTGGAGACTGCTGGCATCCTGGGATGGAAGCAGAGGGCCCGGGGGAACCCACGTGGGTAAACCTGAGGGAGGGGGGTCATACCCACAGCAGCCTTGGCAGAGCCCGCATGCACCTGGAGCACCTGCCCCCGCTGTCCCAGGGTGGCAGTGATGTTCACAATCACCCCTCCGTGGTCCTGCAATACACAAGGCACGGGGCAGTGAGCTTCTCATAGAGCAGCCACCCTGGGGGGCGTCTCACGGGGCACCCACCCGGAGGAGCCTCTCACGGGGCACCCACCCGGAGGAGCCTCTCACGGGGCACCCACCCGGAGGAGCCTCTCACGGGGCACCCACCCGGAGGAGCCTCTCACGGGGCACCCACCCGGAGGAGCATCTCACGGGCACCCACCCAGAGGGGCGTCTCAAGGGGCAACCACCTGGGGGGGCGTCTCATGGGGCACCCACTTGGAGGAGCATCTCACGGGCACCCACCCAGAGGGGCGTCTCAAGGGGCAACCACCTGGGGGGGCGTCTCATGGGGCACCCACTCTGAGGAGCGTCTCACGAGGCAACCACCTGGGGGGGTGTCTCATGGGGCACCCACTCGGAGGAGCGTCTCACGAGGCACCCACCCGGAGGAACTTCTCATAAAGTACGCGAGACACGTTGAAGGTGCCACCGGTGTCTATGTCCAACACGGTCTTGAAGGCGTTGAAGGACAAGGCGCCGGCAGGGCACAGGAAGTTTCCAGCCGCACCTGCAGAGTGGGAGACCTCAGGAGCTGCTGGAGCCCGGGGAGAGGGACGCCGAGTGGGCGCTGGTTCCGATGGGAGGGTGCAGGAGGGAGCCCAGGTGCCCTGTGGCACAGGGATGAGACCCATGCCCTGGGATAGCAAGATGGGACATTATGGGCTGAACCGTGGTTCCCAAGAAGAGATGCTGAAGCAGCAACCCCTGCTACCTGGGACTGTGGCCTTGTTTGGAAATGGGGTGGGTGCAGATATAATTTAATTACATAGAAGTCACTCATCAGGGTGAGCCCTAAATCCATGACCGACATCCTTATAACAAGAGAAGAGGACCCACAGACACACCCCATGTGAAGACAGTGGCAGAGGGCGGAGTGACGGTCTCTCAGCCAGGGAGGGCCAAGGACTGCCACCGCACCTGAAGCCACAGGGAAGGCATGGAACAGGCCCCCCGCGGGGGCCTCAAAGGACGAGGCAGGAACAGGCCCCCCGCTGGGGCCTCAGAGGACACAGCTCCGCCAGAGCTGGAGGTGACATTGTTTTAGCCACACAGGTTGTACTCTGTTAGCCCAGGAAACTAACACACAGGGTGTTTTTAAAAGGGAATTTCCGGCCGGGCGTGGTGGCTCACACCTATAATCCCAGCACTTTGGGAGGCCGAGGTGGGTGGATCACGAGGTCAAGAGATCGAGACCATCCTGGTCAACATGGTGAAACCCCATCTCTACTAAAAATACAAAAATTAGCTGGGCATGGTGGCGCATGCCTGTAATCCCAGCTACTCAGGAGGCTGAGGCCGGAGAATCGCTTGAACCCAGGAGGTGGAGGTTGTGGTGAGCCGAAATTGCGCCATTGCACTTCAGCCTGGGTAACAAGAGCGAAACTCCGTCTCAAAAAAAAAAAAAGAAGGGAATTTCAGGACCCAAAGGCACCCAACTCTGCCACTCAGCGACATTCACGGCATCCACGTGAGCTGCAGCTGCAGCTGACCTGCTGCCATCTGCAGCAGTGGAGCGAGGCAGGAGACAGAGGCCCGGAGCCTGCGTCTTGGCCTCAGGTACCTGGGGTGCAGCCCACCCCAGGGCAGGTGCCTAGGTTCCCTAACACGATCCCCACCCCAGGACCAGAGTTCTGGGGCCTCCCAAGTGGTACCACCGACCTGTGAGAAGCCACCCACCTCACTCAGCACCGACTCACAGTTAATGAGAATGTCAATTTTCCCGAACTCCTTCAGAGCCTGGTCCACAGCGGCCATGACAGCCGGGGGTACTCGGACGTCCATAGAGAGAGGGAGGCAGCGCCGGCCGGTGGCAGCAGCCAGCTTCCTGGCGGCCTAGAAGCCAGACAAAGAGGCGGACAGCAGCCCTGCAGCCTCAGCCTGGAGAACAAGCCTCTGGAATCCACAGAGGATGACACATCCACGCTCCACTGGGACGCTGGGTTTGCTGCTGGGTCCCCACTCTGTGCCTGCAAGTGCCCACCACCCTGGGGGACGTTTATAGGACCCTGTCCCCACTCTGCCCACACCTGCCACCCGTCCTAGACCAGAGGCTCACAGATGACTCTCCTTCCAGGTTGAGCGCTCTGGTGGGTGGGATACACCAACCACCTGCACAACCCAGGTAAGCCCAGAGACCCTTCTCGGGGCCACATTACTCCAAACAGGAAGGTCACTCCCAGGACCCAATAACTAGATTAAAAAAAAAATCGTTGGCCGGGTGCGGTGGCTCATGCCTGTAATAGCAGCACTTTAGGAAGCCAAGGCAGGCGGATGACAAGGTCAGGAGATGGAGACCATCCTGCCTAACATGGTGAAACTCTACCAAAAGTACAAAAACTCAGCCGGGCGTGGTGGCGCACACCTGTGATCCCAGCTACTCGGGAGGCCGAGGCAGGAAAATCTCTTGAACCCGGGAGGCAAAGGTTGCAGTGAGCCGAGATTGCGCCACTGCACTCCTGCACTCCAGCCTGAGCAACAGAGCAAGACACTGTCTCAAAAAAAAAAAAAAGTAGGCCGGGCGCGGTGGCTCACGCCTGTAATCCCAGCACTTTGGGAGGCCAAGGTGGGTGGATGACAAGGTCAAGAGATCAAGACCATCCTGGTCAACATGGTGAAACCCCGTCTCTACTAAAAATACAAAAAAATTAGCCAGGCACAGTGGCGCGTGCCTGTAGTACCAGCTACTCAGGAGGCTGAGGCGGGAGAATTGCCTGAACCCAGGAGGCGGAGGTTGCGGTGAGCTGAGATCGTGCCATTGCACTCCAGTCTGGGTAACAAGAGTGAAACTCCGTCTCAAAAAAAAAAAAAAAACAGTCCACAACCTGTTGAGCAGATTTCTTTTTTGAGACAGGGTCTCGCTCTGCTGGAGGGCAGTGGTGCGCTCACAGCTCACCGCAGCTCAGCCTCCCAGGTTCAGGGATCTTCTGGCTTCAGCCTCCAGAGTAGCTGAGACTCCAGGCTTGTGCCACCACACCTGGCTGATTTTTTCAGTCTTTAGTAGAGATGAGGTCTCTTTATGTTGACTGGCTTGTCTTGATCTCCTGACCTCAAGTGATCCTGCAGGCTCGGCCTCTCAAAGTGCTGGGATTACAGGCGTGAGCCACCACACTCAGCCAAACTAGATGTTTTTTAAGTCAAAGATGTCTCTGGGAGACCACTTACACTGAAGTTTTGGTGCTGGCTGGGTGCGGTGGCTCACATGGGTAATGCCAGCACTTTCGGAGGCTGAGGCGGGCAGATCGCCTGAGGTCAGGAGTTCGAGACCACCCTGGTCAACATGGTGAAACCCCAACTTTACCAAAAAAATACAAAAGTCAGCTGGGTGTAGTGGCAATGCCTGTACTCCCAGCTACTCAGGAGGCTGAGGCAGGAGAACTGCTTGAACCTGGGAGGCAGAGGCTACAGTGAGCCAAGATCACACCACTGCACTCCAGCCTGGGGGACAGAGCGAGACTCCTATCTCAAAAAAACCAACAAACGTTTTGGTGCCAACACCCTCTCAGCCTCTGGACCCTCCTGGCCCAGGCCCAGCACCCCCACAGCCACCTGCAAACGGAACCATGGGAGAGGCCCTCTCACCGTCAACAGTCGGGGCAGGCTCCTGCTGGCGATCACCGTGTGGCAGCCATGCCTGCAAAGCCAGAAGCAGGCGTGAGGCCAGTGCGGGCAAGGGGCACTCCCAGGGGGCATCTGCCCAGCTCCTGGGCAGGAGTCCCTTGGGTGACATACCAGTCCAGGGCTGAAGGCCTGGCTGGCAGAAGGCAGGGGGCGTGAACAGGACTGAGAAACTCTGGAGGGACCTCAGGTTGTGCTCACCCACAGGGTTTCTGGCAGGGGACATCCCACCCACACAGGCCTGCGGGCCCTGCCCCACCTGTACACCAGGTACAAAGGCGGCTGTGAGGCCCTGAGGCCCAGTCCAGACATCTGCCAGGGGCCTGCTGGACCCCACGCCCTCCACCTCCTCCTCCCTGTGGGGTTGGCATAGAGGACCAGGAGCCCATTCTGAAGCGGGGTGCTCCCCGCTCCCCTCCTGACCACCGTGGATGCGAATCCACCACACCGGCCCCTCATGAACCCGGTTCCAGGAATGCGGCTACAGTTTTCCAGTTTATCTACTGTTCTTGACAGAGCACAAAGACAATCCTGCCCTTAGGTCAAAACAACCTTGACATTCTCCTAAACCAATTCCCACACATACCCTCTGAGGCAGGACCCCTTTCCCTGTGGTCTAGCAGCCCTGGGCCCGGGGGTAACAGCAGGGAGACGCCTGTCCCACAGCCACCCGACTACGCTTCCATCCCTAAATCCCCCAACAAAATCACCCGTGTGGACAGTTGCAATCTGTCTGCCTAGTTCTTTGGTTTCTCAGCTCTTCCGGTTTGGGGGCTGCTTCCCCACAGGAACCACAGAGGCAGCTACCCCTGCTAGGCAGGTCCCACTGGAGCTGCCAAGTCCCATCCGGCCCTCAGACCCCGAGCACAGAGCCACCAGTGGAAAGGCCAAATCTCTTCCTGTGGGACTCACCTTTCTGGTATGGAAAGGAAGGGCCTCAGGGGACCTGAGGGAGGGTCCTTCTGCCCCTCCTTACCCTAACCCTACCACTGTCAGGTGGGATGAGTTGCTGACCGAGCCTGAAGCCACAGGACTTGTAACCCAAGAGAAATCTCTAAAGGGTAACAGCACTGGGGCCTAACACAGCCCCAATTCGAAAGGTCCCAGCCGACCCCAGACCAGAGCCACACAATCTCCACTGACCTCTAGGAGCCCTGGAAGTCCTGACTGCCCCCAGGGCAATCCTCGACCCCTCCCCAGTCCCTCTGGCAGGCACCTGGACCCTGTCGGATGGGTGTTTAGGGGACCCTGTCGGGTGGGTGTGTAGGGGACCTGTCGGGTGGGTGAGTAGGGGACCCTGTCGGGTGGGTGTTCAGGGGACCCGGTCAGGTAGGTGAGTAGGGGACCTGTCGGATGGGTGTTTAGGGGACCCTGTCGGGTGGGTGTGCAGGGGACCCTGTCGGGTGGGTGTGCAGGGGACCCTGTCGTGTGGGTGTGCAGGGGATCCTGTCAGGTGGGTGAGTAGGGGACCCTGTCGGGTGGGTGAGTAGGGGACCTGTCGGGTGCGTGTTCAGGGAACCCTGTCGGGTGGGTGTGTAGGGGACCCTGTCGGGTGGGTGAGTAGGGGACCTGTCGGGTGCGTGTTCAGGGAACCCTGTCGGGTGGGTGTGCCGGGGACCCTGTCGGGTAGGTGTTCAGGGGACCCTGTCGGGTGGGTGAGTAGGGGACCTGTCGGATGGGTGTTTAGGGGACCCTGTCGGGTGGGTGTGTAGGGGACCTGTCGGGTGGGTGAGTAGGGGACCCTGTCGGGTGGGTGTGTAGGGGACCCTGTCGGGTAGGTGAGTAGGGGACCTGTCGGTTGGGTGTTTAGGGGACCCTGTCGGGTGGGTGTGTAGGGGACCTGTCGGGTGGGTGAGTAGGGGACCTGTCGGGTGCGTGTTCAGGGAACCCTGTCGGGTGGGTGTGCAGGGGACCCTGTCAGGTGGGTGAGTAGGGGACCTTGTCGGGTGGGTGAGTAGGGGACCCTGTCGGGTGGGTGTGTAGGGGACATCTGCCTCCCACCAGCATCTTCCCAGGGGTCTGGCATCCAGCAGGGCCCAGGCAGGAAGAAGCGGGGAGCAGGGAGGGGACACAGAGCAGCCTCACCGCATGAAAATCTCAGCAATCCGGAACCCGATCCCAGAGCCGCCACCTGTGATGAAGGCCACTTTGTCCCTGAGACAATTAAAAAGGAATCTCTCTTAAAAGAGCCCTTGTTACCCAGGCTGGAGTGCAATGGCGCCATCTCGGCTCACCGCAACCTCCGCCTCCTGGGTTCAGGCTATTCTCCTGCCTCAGCCTCCTGAGTAGCTGGGATTACAGGCATGCGCCACCATGCCCAGCTAATTTTTGTATTTTTAGTAGACATGGGGTTTCACCATGTTGACCAGGGTGGTCTCGATCTCCTGACCTTGTGATCCGCCCACCTCGGCCTCCCAAAGTGCTGGGATTACAGGCGTGAGCCACCGTGCCCGGCCAATTTTTATTTTTATTTTAAAAGTTGGGGTTTCACCATGTTGGTCAGGCTGGTCTTGAACTGCCGACCTCAGGTGATCCACCCACCTTGACCTCCAAAGTGCTTGGATTACAGGTGTGAGCCACCACGCCCAGCGACAATATGGCTTTTTTATTCATTAGAGATTTTCTCGTACGTGTTAAATGTGTACTGATTGGTATCATAGGTACAAATTGTACCAGATGGATAGGCAATCTCTTTATTCATTTATTTATTTTTTGAGAGGGAGTTTAGCTCTTGTTGCCCAGGCTGGAGTGCACTGGCACGATCTCAGCTCACCCCAACCTCTGCCTCCCACGTTCAAGCGATTCTCCTGCCTCAGCTTCCCAAGTAGCTGGGATTAGAGGCACGCGCCACCATGCCCAGCTAATTTTTGTATTTTTAGTAGGCTCCTGGGCTTTAAGTGATTCTCCTGCCTTAGCCTCCTGAGTAGCTGTGACTACTGGCAACCACCACCACACCTGGCTAATTTTTGTATTTTTAGTAGAGATGGAGTTTCTCTATGTTGGTCAGGCTGGTCTACAACTCCGGACCTCAGGTGATCTGCCTGCCTTGGCCTCCCAAAGTGCTGGGATTACAGGCGTGAGCCACTGAACCTGGCCTGCAATTCTCCTACTTTTGCAGAGTTCCAAGTTGCTTTTTTTGAGATGGAGTTTTGCTTTTATTGCCCAGGCGGGAGTGCAATGGTGTGATCTCGGCTGAGCGACACCTCAGCCTCCTGGGTTCAAGGAATTCTCCTACCTCAGCCTCCAGAGTAGCTGGAATTACAGGTGTACGCCACCACACCCGGCTAATTTTGTATTTATAGTAAAGACGGGGTTTTGCCATGTTGGTCAGGCTGGTCTCAAACTCCTGACCTCGGGTGATCCACCTGACTTGGCCTCCCAAAGTGCTGGGATTACAAGCATGAGCCACTGTGCCCAGCCTTCTTATTCTTAATGATTAAAGATTCATTTTGGTACAGGTGCGGTACCAATTAAAAAAAAAGAAAAAGGGGTTTCCCTCTTTCAGCTTTGGAGTCTCCCTCCCTTTGTCTCTGTACAGGGGGCTTCTTTCTTTCTTCTCCCTTCTTTTTTGCCTGTTAAACTCCCTGCTTCTTAAAACTGAAAAAAAGAAAAAACAGATCCACCTGTTAGCCAAGTGAGGGCAGGTGGCCTGGGAGGACTCTGACCTTCACAAGGTGGCCCTCCCTTGTGAACAGCGAGGCCTCTGCAGGAATATCAATAGTTGCCGGGCAAAATCCAGCATTCCTGGGCCTTCCTGGGTCTTATGGGAAAATGATTTCAACCTAAAATTTTTTGTAAAGAAAGAGGTTGGGCCGGGAGCAGTGGCTCATGCCTGTAATCCCCAGCACTTTGGGAAGTTGAGGCGGGTGGATCACCTGAGGTCAGGAGTTCGAGACCAGCCTGCCCAACATGGCGAAACCCTGTCTCTACTAAAAATAGAAAAATTAGCTGAGCATGGTGGCGAGCACCTGTAATCCCAGCCACTCGGGAGACGGGAGAATCGCTTGAACCTGGGAGGCGGAGGTTGCAGTGAAAAGAGATGGCGCCACTGCACTCCAGACTGCATCTCAAAAAGGAAGGATAGATGGATGGAAGGAAGGAAGGAAGGGAGGATGGGAGGGCGGGAAAGAAGGAAGAAAGGCAGGGTGGGAGGGAGGGAAAGAAGGAAGGGAAGGAGGGAAAGAAGGAAGGGAGGGTGGGAAAGAAGGGAGGGGAGAAAAGGAAGGGAAGGAAGGAAGGGAGGGAGGGAGGATGGGAGGGAGGGAAAGAAGGGAGGGAGGGTGGGAGGGAGGGAAGGAAGGGAGGGAGGGAGGATGGGAGGGAGGGAGGGTAGGAGGCAGGGAAAGGGGAGGGAGGGAGAGAGGGTGGGAGGGAGGGAGAGAGGGTGGGAGGGAGGGAAAGAAGGGAGGGAGAGGGTGGGAGGGAGGGAGAGAGAGAAGGTGGGAGGGAGGGAAAGAAAGGAGGGAGAGAGTGTGAGAGAGAGGGAAGGAAGGGAGGGAGGGAGGGAGGGGGCGAGGGAGGGAAAGAAGGGAGAGAGAAAAGGAGGGAGGAAAAGAAGGAAGAGAAAAAAAGAAAAGAAAGGTAGGCAAAAAGAAAGCAGCCAGGCGAGACAGGGTTCCAAACACACGAGACCTCGGGTGGGGACCCCGTCGGCCCTCTCGGCGATGCAGGGACCATGTGGGGGCGCCCGCTCCCCGGCCCCGCTCACCGCAGCAAGTCCGGGCAGAAGAGGTGGCGGTATGCGGGGAGGCAGTCGTCCCCCTCCACGTCGGGCGGCGGCTGGGCCATGGCGGTCGCGGCAGGGACTCCGGGGGCTATAGGCAGGAGCAGCCTCGGCCTCGGGGATCCCTGCGCAGCGGCCAAAGCGCCTGGAACCGGAGTCCCGCCCACTCCCGGACGCCCCGCCCCTTCCTGAATTCTCCCCGAGGCCACGCCCTCTCGCGCGGAGCCTGCTGGGATTGGCGGTCGCCGCGCGGGGCGCAGGCGCAGGCGCAGAGCGGGGCCGTTCGCGCGGCGGAAACTCGGCGCACTCCGTTTCCCGTCCCGGAGTGTTTTTCACAGGGATTCGGCGTCGGCCGCGGTCGGAGCCTGCAGGACTCCTGGGACACCCCTGGCTCCTGGGTCCAGGCGGGGCTCGCAGCTTCTGGGCGCCCCCTCGCCTCCCCGTAAACACCGTGGGGAGCGCGGAGGCGGGAGGGAAATGTCTCGGACGCCCTGGAATGCGCGGCCGCTCCGCGCGGGTTCCCAAAATGACCCGTTTCGGGGCCAAGAAGGAAGAGGCCGAGGCCGGGCGCGGTGGCTCAAGCCTGTAATCCCAGCACTTTGGGAGGCCGAGGCGGGCGGATCAAGAGGTCGAGAGATCGAGACCGTCCTGGCCAACATGGCGAAACCCCGTCTCTCCTAAAAATACAAAAAACTAGCTGGCGTGGTTGGCGCGCGCCTGTGGTCCCGGCTACTCGGGAGGGTGAGGCGGGAGAATCGCTTGAACCCGGGAGGCGGAGGGTGCCCCAGCCTGGGTGAGAGTGACTCTGACTCAAAGAAGAAAAAAGGTTCCGGTACTTCTGTTCCTTGTGGGGGCCCGGGCGGGGCGATACCGCGAAGCCAGGATGGGGCGCCCGCACCAGTGTTGGAAGCCGGGACCCCGCGACGGCCACCGCTGCAGTGAAGGCTGCCAGGCTTTCTGCGCTGGGTGGCGTCAGCCCGCCGGCCCCTTCCCAGGGAAGGCAGCTCCTCCTCCGGTGGGATCAGACAGCCCTGGCTCGTGCCCAGCTTGGGTCCCCCCCCAGATGCTAGGCTGGCGGTCTCTGGACCCCTTCCTGGCTCATATATCCAACAAAATTATGGAACTAGGAGTGTAAAACTTCATTTTTACTCTGAAACTGCATACAACTTACATAAAAGCATCATTTCTACCCCAGAGCTGGTGGAAACCATAATGAGTGCCCCGCCCATGTGCTGGGCACAGTGAATTTTAATGCCTCCCCTTTGGAGGAGGAGAGGTCACCCTAACTTGTGAAGACCCCCCCCCAAAAAGGTTGTCTGGCACTTTGGTGCAAAAAGGATTGGTCCAATCTTGTGCTGGCTTGGGGTACAGAAAGGCACTGAAGTTGGTGGCCTGGGGTGGGGCAGTTGTTTGTGGCAGGCGGGTAGGGCTGTGGGCTTGGGTTTTTGCTGACAGAGGTAGTGGGTCCTGCGTGGAGGATGGGGTGGTAAAGGCAGCCTGCGCCTCAGGCAGGGTGGATGCTGCTGTGCTGGGCTGTGTCTGCCCAGCTCACCAGCTCACTGCTCTGGAACCACAGCTGGATCTCTCGCTGGGCCCCCTCCACGGAGTCGCTGGCGTGTATGACGTTCCTGTGCCGTGACAGGAGCAAAGTAAGGCTCAGGCTTCATGTGCACTGTGGGGAGCTGCAGGGACCATCGGCCGCTCCCCTGTTCCCCTCTGTCTAGGGGAGCAAGCCTGTGACTGCAGACAGGGAAGGCGGGGCAGTGGAGCTGGGAAACGGAGCTCCAGCCTGGCCTCGGCCTCTTACGACCTCAGGGACCCGCCCAGACCCCAGTTTTTGGGAGGCTAATTTCCCCCCAAGTTGCCCCGTGCCAGCCCCTTGGGGCGTCAGGTAACAGGCAATGGTGGTACTGTACACACAACACAAAGGGAATGCCCCGTTGCCCTGAGTGCAGGTCTGGGAGAACATGGCTCTAGCAGCTGAGCTATCCGGTCCCACCTGGCCCCACCCCAGCAAAGCAAGACACCCCAGTCCCGTGGATCGCGCTAGGAACGGGCTGCCACCCCAAGTGCTTGCCCGCCTCACCCCCAGCAGCAGCCCGGTGTGTCAGGCCCCGGTACCTGCTGATGTGGACGCTGAAGTCACCCCTTATGGTTCCTGGGGCAGCCTCAGCTGAGTCGGTGTGTCCAATCATGGCCCTCGAGGCGCGGACAACATTGTACCCTTCCCAGACCTGCAGCAAGAGAGAGCGGTTGCAGAGAAGTGGGGAACGCCAAGGGCCCCTGGGCTCAATCCAGGGCCCTTCCCTTTGCTGGGGGGGGAACACACCCACATGCCCTTCCACCGCCCCTGCCCCACCATACCATGGCCACCATGGGCCCAGAGCTCATGTAGCGGATGAGGGCAGGGTAGAAGGGCTTCCTCTGCAGGTCCCGGTAGTGCTCAGCAAGGATGCTCTCTGGTGCCTGGGTGGCAATGAGGGGGAGGAGGAGGAGCCCCCCAGAGTAACCCTGGGCACTAGCGCAGCAGCTGTGGTGCCCTGACCTCAGGCACCTGCAGATAACAGCAGCATGGGCGGTGTCCCTGCCACAGCACAGATCCCTCCTGCCCCTTCAACTGCCAAAGCCAGGCCCTGCCCTGGGGCTGGCTGGGATGCAAAAGGCTGAGGACTCTCCAACCCCATCCCCACAGGGACACCCACAAGCCCAGAGCCGCAATACCTGCAGCATCTTCATCCCCACCAGCGTGAAGCCTCGCCTCTCAAAGCGCCGGATCACATCCCCCACGAGCCGCCGCTGCACTCCATCTGGTTTCACCGCCACCAGGGTCCGCTCCCGGGTCCAGGAGGGCCCTCCTTTAAAAGGCGAGGGGTCAGGGGCACTGCCAGAGCGCAGAGGTCACCAGGCTTCAGGGTGTCTGACTCTACACAGGGCAAGGATGGTGCCCATACCCAGAAACGTCCCTGTGATAATCCCAGTCAGGGATACCCAGGGCAATGTGTCCCCCTGGGCCTCTAGCTTCTCCCAGGGGCCATGGCTCCTCCCAGCAGAGGCAGAAGCTGCCTGAGATGGTGTGATCACCCCAAGGTCCACCAAGGCATAACCCAGCTCAAGGACCACCACGAGTTCCACGGGCACAGCTCAGGGACCACCCCGAGGTCCACGGGGGCACGGCCCAGCTCAGGGACCACCCTGAGTTCCACGGAGGCTCGGCCCAGTTCAGGGACCACCCAGAGTTCCACGGAGGCACGGCCCAGCTCAGGGACCACCCTGAGTTCCACGGGGGCACAGCTCAGCTCAGGGACCACCCCAAAGTCCACGGGGGCACGGCCCAGCTCAGGGACCACCAGAGTTCCATGGAGGCACGGCCCAGCTCAGGGACCACCCAGAGTTCCATGGAGGCACGGCCCAGCTCAGGGACCACCCAGAGTTCCATGGAGGCACGGCCCAGCTCAGGGACCACCCAGAGTTCCATGGAGGCACGGCCCAGCTCAGGGACCACCCGAGGTCCATGGAGGCACGGCCCAGCTCAGGGGCCGCCAGGAAGTCTGGAGATGCTGCAAAACTCCAGCCTCACTTTTGACTCCAGCCCTTCTGGGTGAGGACAGACATGGTCTGAATCCCATACTCCATACTAGGAGGAACCCAGAGCCTACCCTCTGTGTCTGAGATGAAGGAGAGGCAGGGAACCAGGGAGAGAGATACACTTTCTCCACCAGGTGAGCCCTGGAAACACGGACAAAAGGGGCCTGAAGATTGGAGCGGGAAGGCAGGAGGCTTCCCGACCCAGCCAGGAGACCAGCCCTCTGCTGCTGTGGTTTCAAGGCCTGCCGCTTCCAGACCCAGGGTCAACACTCTGCCCCAGCCTTCCTCTTCTGGAGGGGGCTCTGCCAGGGAGACAGGAGACGTCCTCACCCTCCTACAGTCCCAGGCCCTCCAGAGCCAAGCTGACCCTGGGGCACTGGGTCTTTGGATGTCCTACAAAGGTTGGACAGAGCCTAAGGGGCCCTGCCAGGCCAGGAGGGAAAGTTAACCCCTTTCAGCAGGAGGCTGAAGCCCATGGGAGGAAGGCCAGATGGTTGGTGCGTTCCCCCAAAACCCAGTTCACAGGGTGCCTTGGCTAGCCTGGGGCTCTGCTGCGGCTGGCGCGAGCGGTGGAGGCGGGGGCTCACTTTTCAGAGCCACGGAGGGAGGCCTGAGACCTCGATCCCGCTGTGAGGTGGCAGCTGGGGGGGCCGGGCGGCGCCGGGGCCAGGAACTTAGATCCTGGCGTCCCAGTTAGATTCTGGCCTAGCCTGACCTTCAGCGCAGGCCCTAGCAGAGCGGCTCCCTAGGTGTTCCCGGGATGGGGAGGGTTCCCCCACAATCCCCCTCCAGCTCCCCCCACCCTCAGCCCCGCTTGGAGCCCCGTCGCCGCCCAGTGCGGCCGCCCGCCTCTCCCTTTCGCTCCCGGGCCCTCGGTCGCCCGGACCCGCCCAGGATGCCAACTCGCAGGGCGCCTGCAGCCTGTGCGGGAGAAGGGGCGCACCGCCGGGTGGGTGCCGACGGGCGCCTTCCCCAGCTCGGGCGGACCCCGCGGCCCGCGCCCCAGGCCTCCGGGGAGTGGGGCCCCCGCCCCCACGTGCGCGGACAAAGGCCGAGCGGCGCGCGCCCCTCTGCGCCGTGTCCCCGCCGGGGCGCGCGGCCTCACTCACCCGAACCGGGGCGCACGAGCGGGCTCCGGCCCGGGACCCGCGGGCCGCCGCGCAGCCCCCGCAGCGCCGAGGGCCAGAAGAGGCCGCCCATGACGCCCGGCCCACGGGCCGCTGTGAGCGCCGGGAGCGCGCGGAGGGCGGTGCCAGCCCCAGCCCCTCCCCGGACCCGCCCCGGAGTCCCCGCGCCGACCCCACCCGCCCGGGACCCCGCGTGGCCCGGCACTCACCGGGCGCGTGCAGATGTTCAACGTCTCTGTTAAAATCGGAAGAAAAAGCACAAAATAATAATGTCTCTCTCTTGAGTTGTATTCGCCTTTATACCGACGCAACCGTTAACTATCGTTTTAACGCTTTCCCACGGGGGAAGGCCCACTCGGGAGGCTGCGGCCGGAGGGTCGCTTGAGCCCGGGAGGTTGAGGCTGCAGTGAGCTGTGACTGCACCGCCGCTCTCCAGCCTGGCCCATAAGCAAGACTCCGTCTCAAAAACAAATGAATTCGCCCACCAAAGGGCGTTCTAGAGGAAGCCCCGGTCTGAGCCCCTCTGATGGACGGTGACATTTCCACGGGAGCCCCAGGGCGCGAGAAGAAGGCGCTCGGGAGACGCTGACCCTGCGGCCAGGAAGAGCAGGTGACACTACAGACCTGCGCAGCCGCGACCAGCTAATATTTACATTTTTTGTAGAGATGGGGCCTCCCTATGTTGCCCAGGCTGGTCTCAAACTGCGGGATGAAAAAGTCCTCCCGCCTTGGCCTCCCAAGGTGCTGGGATGACAGGTGTGAGCCACCTGCCGGGACTGGGCCGTGACCTCGAATGGGGAAAAATACGACCTTTGTCCTCAAATGGCCCCAGATGTGACCGCATTCCTCCAAGTCATTGCAGTGTGGAATTAAGAAACAAGCCGCCCGGCGCGGTGGCTCACGCCTGTAATCCCAGCACTGTGGGAGGCAGAGGCGGGTGGATCACGAGGTTAAGAGATCGAGACCATCCTGGTCAACATGGTGAAACCCCGTCTCTACTAAAAATACAAAAAAATTAGCTGTGCATGGTGGCGCGTGCCTGTAATCCCAGCTACTCAGGAGGCTGAGGCGGGAGAATTGCCTGAACCCAGGAGGCGGAAGCTGTGGTTACCCATTGTACTCCAGCCTGGGTAACAAGAGCAAAACTCCGTCTCAAAAAAAAAAAGTTGGCCTTGGGCAGTGGTTCACACCTATAATCGCAGCACATAGGGGAGGCCAAGGTGGGCCAATCAGAAGTTTGAGACCAGCTTACTCAATGTGGTGAAACCCCCTTTCTACCAAAATGACAAAAATTATTCCGGTGTGGTATGGTGCACCTTTAGTCCCAGCTACTCAGGAGGCAGGGGCCCTATGGATGTGCAAGATGGTCCTGGTAGGTGGTGCATGAGGATCTGTCCCGCCCTGCTGCTGTTACACCCATGGAGGGAGGGCACCGCCCCCTGCACAGAGGCCTCCCACCTGTTTTTTTATTTTACGTCTTTTTTTTTTTTTTTTAGACAAAGTTTCCCTCTTGTTGTCCAGGCTGGAGTGCAGCGGCACAATCTCAGCTCACTGCAACCTGCCTCAGCTCCTTTGAAGCTGGGAAGCAGAGAGGGAGCAGTGAGCTGAGACGGTGTAACTGCACTCCAGGCTGCACAACAGAGCAACAAGACCCTCTCTGAAAAAATCGCCAAAAAAACAAGTGCATCCTCCCCCAGTTAAGCCTTAGGATCACCTCAGTGTGGCTGACACCTTGACCCTAGCCTGGGAGAGCCTCTGAGTCAGAGGCTCCCTACTAAGCCCCATCCGGCCTACTGTCCGCAGAATCTGTGAGACCTCACGTGGATCCAGAGCTGGGCTCCGGAGTTCCATGGGGCCATACTGCCCCTCAGAGGCCAGCGTTGGAACTGCACCTGGGTCTCACCAAAGGCTCCCTCCATCCAAAGCCTGGGCTGTGTCTCTAGTTTCACTCTTGGGGTGCTGCCATTCTGAGGGCTCCAGAGCCTGACTGAGGATGAGGTGGAATGAAGAATCAGGGCCGAGCAGAGTCGTGGATTTCTGGAACATTCCTATGGATGTGCAAGATGGTCCTGGAAGGTGGTGCATGAGGATCTGTCCCGCCCTGCTGCTGTTACACCCATGGAGGGAGGGCACTGCCCCCTGCACAGAGGCCTCCCACCTGTTTTTTATTTTATTTCTTTTTTTTTTTTTTTTTTTTTAGACAAAGTTTCCCTTTTGTTGTCCAGGCTGGAGTGCAGCGGCACAATCTCAGCTCACTGCAACGTGCGCCTCCCGGGTGCAAGGGATGATCCTGCCTCAGCCTCCCGAGTACCTGAGGCTACATACAGGTGTGCACATCGCCACGCCTGGCTAATTTTTGTATTTTTAGAAGACACAGGGTTTTGCCAGGTTGTTCAGGCTGGTCTCAAACTCCTGAGCTCAGGTGATCCACCAGCCTCGGCCTCCCAAAGTGCTGAGATTACAGGCCTGAGGCACCGTGCCCGGCTAAACTTCACAATTTCTGTCATGTGTAACGGGGTGGGTTTTATTTAAGGGCAAATTTCAGGCTTCAACACTTTTTATTCCCCATGACCTGTGAGCCAGAAGCCAGGGTGCTTAAATGATCTTTATTTCTTTACTTTATAATTTTTTTTTTTAAAAGACGGGGTTTCACCATGTTGGTCAGGCTGCTCTTGAACTCCCAACCTCAGGTGATTCACCCGCCTTGGCCTCCAAAGTGCTTGGATTACAGGCGTGAGCCACCTCGCCCGGCCTATTTATTTGTTTGTTTATTGGAGATGGAATCTCCCTCTGTCGCCCAGGCTGCAGGGCAGTGGTGTGATCTCAGCTCACGGCAACCTTCACCTCCCCAGTTCAAGCAGTTTTCCTGCTTCAGCCTCCCAAGTAGCTAGGGTTACAGGCACGCGCCACCACGCCCAGCTAACTTTTTGTATTTTTAGTAGAGATGGGGTTTCACTGTGTCGGCCAGGATGGTCTCGATCTGCCGACCTCATGATCCGCCAGCCTCAGCGTCCCAAAAGTGCTGGGATTACAGGTGTGAGCCATTGTGTCCGGCCATGATGTTTATTTCTAGATATATTATTGTTATAAATGTCTAATTCAATGCCACTGTGGTCACAGAACATATTCTCTTTGAGAGGCCAACGTGGGTGGATTACCTGAGGTCAGGAGTTTGAGAGCAGCCTGGTCAACATGGTGAAACCCCGTCTCTACTAAAAATACAAAAAATTAGCTGGGCATGGTGGCGCGTGCCTGTAATCCCAGCTACTCAGGAGGCTGAGGCAGGAGAATTGCCTGAACCCAGGAGGCGGAGGTTGCGGTGAGCCAAGATGGCGCCATTGCACTCCAGCCTGGGTAACAAGAGCAAAACTCCGTCTCAAAAAAAAAAAAAAAAAACAATTTCTGTCCTCTACATTAAGGGGTGGCTTCCATTCAGGAGCAAACACTGTATTCCCCATGGAATATGACTTCCCATTAGAAACGACGAAGCCCAGGGCCAGGTGCAGCGGCTCACGCCTGTAATCCCAGTACCGTGGGAGGCCGGGACAGAAGGACCAACAGCTGCATGGTCTCTAATGGGGTTCAAGAGTGTTTTGTAGAGACGGGGTTTCACCATGTTGTCCACACTGGTCTCCAACTCCTGACCTCAAGGGATCCACCTGCCTCGGCCTCCCAAAGTGCTGGGATTAGAAGCCTGAGCCACTGAGCTGAAAAGAATAAACATTTATTTATTGTTATTTATTTATTTATTATTTTCTTCCCAGGAAAGTTCTTTGCAAATAAACATTTTTTTAAAGTGAACACGTGAACAAAATTTGTTCCCCAATTCAGATCACATGCTGTGCCATAAACCAAGGCTCAATTAATGTAAAATACTTTAAGTGGTAGAGTCTGTGTTCTCCTTTCTCTTTCTTTTTTCCTTTCTTTTCTTCCCTCCCTCCCTCCCTCCTACCCTCCCTCCTTCCTTCCTTCCTCCCCCCACCCCCCCGCGTCCTTCCTTCCTTCTTTTCTTTCTGATGGATTCTTGCTCTGTCGCCAGGCCAGCGCGCAGTGGCGCAATCTCAGCTCACCGCAAACTCCATCTCCCGGGTTCAAGTGATTCTCCTGTCTCAGCCTCCGGAGTAGCTGGGATTACAGGCGCCTGCCACCATGCCCAGCTAATTTTTGTATTTTTGGTAGCGATGGGATTTCACCCTGTTGGCCAGGATGATCTCTGTCTCTTGACCTCATGATCCACCTGCCTTGGCCTCCCCAAATTCTGGATCACAGGCAGGGGCCACTGTGCCCGACCTATTTATTTATTTATTTATTTTGAGACAGAGTTTTGCCCTTGTCACCCAGGCTGGAGTGCAATGTAGCTCAATCTTGGCTCACTGCGACCTCCGTCTCCAGGGCTGAAGCCATTCCCCTGCCTCTGCCTCCTGAGTAGCTGGGATTACAGGTGCCCGCAACCATGCCTGGCTAATTTTTTTATTTCCTTTTTTTTTTTTTTTTTTTTTTTTTTTTTTGAGACGGAGTTTCGCTCTTGTTACCCAGGCTGGAGTGCAATGGCACCATCTCGGCTTACCACAACCTCCGCCTCCTGGGTTCAGGCAATTCTCCTGCCTCAGCCTCCCGAGTAGCTGGGATTACAGGCACGTGCCACCATGCCCAGCTAATTTTTGTAATTTTAGTAGAGACGGGGTTTCACCATGTTGACCAGGTTGGTCTCGATCTCTCGACCTCGTGATCCACCCGCCTCGGCCTCCCAAAGTACTGGGATTACAGGCATGAGCCACCGCGCCTGGCCAGAAATTGTTATGTCTATTAAAAGGTGGCACAATTGCCGGGTGCGGTGGCTCATGCCTATATCCCAGCACTTTAGGAGGCCAAGGTGGGAGGATCACCTGAGGTCAGGATTTTGAGATGAGGCTGGCCAACATGGCGAAACACCTTCTCTGCTACAAATACAGAGATGTGCCAGGCGTGGTGGCTGGCGCCTGTAATCCCAGCTACTCGGGTTGCTGACGCAGGAGAATCGTTTCAACCCCGTAGGCGGAGGCTGCAGTGAGCCGGGATTTCACCACTGCCCTCTAGACTGGGCAACAGAGCAAGACCCTATCTCAA